AAAGAAAATGTTGATAGTCATAAACTTCATAAAGTAAAAGCAAAAGAAAACATAAAAAATTTGATGCAAGGATTAATGGAAAGAAAAAGCACGTTTGATATTAATTCATGCAATGCTCCATCAGAAAGCAAGCTATGAGTGGCCAATCATCACTTACAATGACCAATCACTAGTTGTATCCATCACAGAATCCAGTGGTGGGAATTGCAACTAATAAGAAACTAAAGACCTTGAATGGAAAATAAGAGACTGCAAGTGGCTATAATGTGTACACTGAAATTATCAAGGCAGATTTTAGTTACAATCACTAGCTAATGTTCCAACTTCCCATAAAATTTTGACCGTGAATAAATCAACAATTCCTAGTTGTGGAAATGAATCCAGTTGGAAGGAAAAATCCTAAATGAATCATATTTGGAAAAACATGTTTGGAAGGAAAAATCCTAAATGAATCCAGTTGTGGAAAATAAATGTGGTTCCAACTGAAGAAAAAAACTGGGGACCCAATCTACGAAGGCTTTCACACATGCATCGTTGACCAATTGAGGCACCAACATCAAGTAATTTGATACAACCTAGATGCTGGAGGGCTAAAGAAAGAATGCAAATATCATCAGCTGACAAAGACAATTCATTCCCTTGAACGTTACTTGCATGATTGCCATGAATTATTAACTCAAATGGGACTTAAACTCAAGCAAGCTGGGTGGAAAAGTTCTAAATGTCTGACGTGAATCACTAGCATGCTAACTTGGAGTGGAATTGTATCAATAAGCATCAATAACAAAAGAGGACACCAAATCTACTCTTAGGCCTACTCTGAGTTATTAAACCCCTAGTAGTAGGAATTAAGGCTTGTTGACCAAGATTGATGTCTTAATTGTTCAAGAGGAAGCATCAAAAATAAATAACAATGATGTAACACCTGCACCCTGAAGCATGATTCAAAGTCACACTATTAGTTATCGATTTAGAAGCATCGGTTGCAACGTCGCGCAATGGTATTGGGTCATACACATGAAATGTTACTAGACAAAGAAGTTTAACATCACAATAGATTCAGACCATATCGCAGCTTTGCAAAATGGTATTGGTTGATTCGGTGATGATGACCGGATCGATTCGGGTTAGCTTAGAGAAATTTTAGATGACTTGGCCAAGTAGAGTGAAATTGGTGACTTACACGAAACATGAATCAACATCGGATCATCAAATAGGATATGACTCAACTAAGTTATATCCGTATCTGCCGACATTTTGAGCCATGCCCCGAAAAGATTCTTCACAATCTTCTATATGTAGTCCAATATTCTTTATCAACCTTCTCCATCAAGTTCAAGTCAAATAACAATTCTCACAATAATTCCTAAAATTTGTTGAGCATCATTAGCCGATGCTTGATCATCTAAGAAACTAAGCACAATTTCAATTTTGTTTATGATCCAACTACTTTTGGTAAAAAAAAAAAAATGGCTTGATTACTAATGCAATTACAAAAGAAATGAGACTGCAATTGCTAATACATTGACAGAGGGATCTAGCATATTGGAATCCAATGAACTCAAATGCTTAGTGGAACCAACTTTACTAGGTAGCATTTTTGATAGACTCTGAATTTTTAAACTTAAGCCAATCATACAAAAGTTTTCCAAAGTCAATCAGTAGAAGGTAAACTGTTGTTACATGGAATCTTCTTAGTGTGTTAGCAGCTGCCATCGGTATGATACCATAAAACATAGATATACGTCCAACGTTTCTAGTTAGGCATGCACCCACAAGTGTCTCTAATAATTCAAATTTAACAAATAGTCCAACAACATAGTTCCTATTGTTTTTATTACAATTTGTTTATTACTAGCTTCATTTCGTGTACTTACAAGACTTGGTCAAATAAATCCAACAATTACACACATTTTTTTCACTGATAGGTCCAATTCATGGGTCCCCTTTGTTCTCAATTTTCAACTCCATAAAATATAAAAAATGCAAATAACAAAAAAAGAAATTGATTAGAAAAAATGGGTCTGGATTTCATGCAGAAACTTGGGGAAATTGAAAAATCACATGTTCCAGATCTCTTGCAAAGCAACAAAAGCTTATAAAAAAAGAAACAAATTCCCAAGATAACAGATTATGTCAAATCAACCTACACCATGAAGTGACTTGGAATAGTATTGGTCGAATTGTAAGACAATGTTCATGATAAAAAATGCGAGCCTATTTTGTTTAGTGGAAGCTACCAAACTAGTATGTGCTCTATCTAAATACTAGTCATCTGATTTATAAATCCATTAATGGATTCTATTGTAGTGTTTCATCACATCTAATGTTGCCCAAAGGTAGAAGATGCTCCACTAGCAGAAAATGGAGGGCATGGAAGAATTAAATGAAGAGAAAATCTCAAATTACGGATAAGTGACCCCACCACAAAGAACAGCTAGTCAAGGCACAAAACGAATTACTGGAGAGAGTGTTTGGAAGGAAGAAAATAAAAGCCTATATNGTAAAAAAAAAAAAATGGCTTGATTACTAATGCAATTACAAAAGAAATGAGACTGCAATTGCTAATACATTGACAGAGGGATCTAGCATATTGGAATCCAATGAACTCAAATGCTTAGTGGAACCAACTTTACTAGGTAGCATTTTTGATAGACTCTGAATTTTTAAACTTAAGCCAATCATACAAAAGTTTTCCAAAGTCAATCAGTAGAAGGTAAACTGTTGTTACATGGAATCTTCTTAGTGTGTTAGCAGCTGCCATCGGTATGATACCATAAAACATAGATATACGTCCAACGTTTCTAGTTAGGCATGCACCCACAAGTGTCTCTAATAATTCAAATTTAACAAATAGTCCAACAACATAGTTCCTATTGTTTTTATTACAATTTGTTTATTACTAGCTTCATTTCGTGTACTTACAAGACTTGGTCAAATAAATCCAACAATTACACACATTTTTTTCACTGATAGGTCCAATTCATGGGTCCCCTTTGTTCTCAATTTTCAACTCCATAAAATATAAAAAATGCAAATAACAAAAAAAGAAATTGATTAGAAAAAATGGGTCTGGATTTCATGCAGAAACTTGGGGAAATTGAAAAATCACATGTTCCAGATCTCTTGCAAAGCAACAAAAGCTTATAAAAAAAGAAACAAATTCCCAAGATAACAGATTATGTCAAATCAACCTACACCATGAAGTGACTTGGAATAGTATTGGTCGAATTGTAAGACAATGTTCATGATAAAAAATGCGAGCCTATTTTGTTTAGTGGAAGCTACCAAACTAGTATGTGCTCTATCTAAATACTAGTCATCTGATTTATAAATCCATTAATGGATTCTATTGTAGTGTTTCATCACATCTAATGTTGCCCAAAGGTAGAAGATGCTCCACTAGCAGAAAATGGAGGGCATGGAAGAATTAAATGAAGAGAAAATCTCAAATTACGGATAAGTGACCCCACCACAAAGAACAGCTAGTCAAGGCACAAAACGAATTACTGGAGAGAGTGTTTGGAAGGAAGAAAATAAAAGCCTATATGGAATTCCATTTTAAGGGAGGTCACAAAAGCAAGTTCAAAAGTAAATATCCTGCTAGGTTGGCACAAATAAGGTCTCAATGGGAAGTGATCTTTGGAAGATAAACATGAATTATGTCGATTACATGGACCAATAGAAAATTGCAAAATAGAATAGTTTGTGTTGAAAACGTAGTAATTAATATGTGCCAAGGTCCAACAAATGGTTCTCCAAACAAAGAATAAGGGATAACATCAAAGAAAGAGAACAAGACTTGCTAGAAAGCACTGAGAAATAAGACAAGCTCTTACACAGTTCAATGATTGACGAATTATAATGCCACACAAAATTGTAAACGAAACAAAAGACTGATTTCTGCTTTACCATCCATGGTGTTATCTACACACATGCATTAGACACTACAGCAAATGCAGAAGTGATCATGCATTAGATCTTTCTTGCCACTCTCATTAACCCTCTCTAGAAGTGGATGTAAAAGCTTCAAATATATCCTTGTTAGCAACTAAACATGAAACTATTTTCTTCTCTTTCTCTCTCCCCCTTCCTCATGTTGACATTATGCCCAATCCTTTAGAAATCCAAGAGATGCTCTCAATTTTTTTATTCTCCTTCTTTATATAGATTGAAAATTCTCTCACATTATTAACGAGATAAGCCACCGCTACTTTAAACTTGAAAAGGACTCCCCTTATTGATATTGTGTTTGTTATAATTTGGCAAGTCGTGGCCAATGTTATACCAATACGACTTTGTAGTTCTTGACTTAACTAACCTACTTCTTGCTGTTCGCATACCTTGTTCCACCTCTGCACTAGTTACTAAAAGTTATAACACATTCAAAGTGGGTGAATATTCTGAGCCACAAAAAATAAAAGGGTCAAAGACGACAAATGTAATAAGAGACAGGTGCTGAGCTTGTCACATCACAGCATCTGAAGCACCTACTCAATCAATTTTAATTTGGGGCTATATATTTTATTCAGGCCCAAGCAATGATATGAAACCAGGAAACACATTCCAATATCAGGTGACAGCTGCTGAGCTTTTCACATCACAGCATCTGAAGCACCTACTCAATCACTTTTAGTTTTGTGCTTTATACTTTATCCAGGCTCAAGCAACGCTATGCAACCAGTAAAAAACACATTTCAATATCAGGGGCAATCCTAAAGCAGATGGTTTAAAAGAGAGGGAAAACACAAACTTTAATGAGGTGCACATCTGTAGGTTTATGAGCCAATATGAGAAAGCTAAAGCACAGAAATGTTCAAATTTTCAAAACTTACATGAGCAATGACAATACAAAAGCTATCTGCAAGTGAATTTGGAAGGCAAAGTCAATGGTAACGCATCGATTTTATAAATACCAAAAATCAAAAGAAAAAATGCGTAAAAAACATATAGTTTGAAACATAAACAGAACATAAAAGAGCAGAAAAAAAGAGTGAAACCGATCATACCACAAATATGATGGATAGCCATTGAAATTACCACCAGTCCCGCGAGCCCCAGCTGATGAGGTCTGCCCAATTTGTGCATTTGGGTACATATGTTGCAAACCCTGCAGCATTGGGGCATTAGTCCCAGCTCCTCCATAGGCACCAAGCACCGAAGTACTCCCACCTAAACTACCCAAACCCTGCGTCCCAACCCCACCATAAGCCCCAAACCCCATAGCTGCACTACCAGCAGGACCCAAACCCCCTGCCACCAAAAGTGGATTCACTGTACCCCCTGCAAGTAGCCCCATATTTGGATTGGCCAGCAATGCACTATACAACGGATTAAAACTTGGGTGCTGCTGACCAAACAATGCCAAATTCTGTGCAGCCGCCAAGGCCGGCAACTGCACTGGCTGCAACGCTGTTGTCACCGACGCCGCTCCCCCCACCTTACTCTTCCCCTCTGCAGCCCTCTGACAATGCAATTGGTGCCCCTCAAACATCTTGTACGGCTCTTCCAACACCTTCTTCGCCCCTTCCTGAGTCTTATACACAAACAAAGCAAACCCCCGCGACTTCCCAGTCTGCATATCAAAACCTAGTGGACCCGTCTCAATTTCCCCAAATTTCGCAAAAAAGGCCCTCAATCTCTCCGGATCAACGTCATGGTTCACATTGCTCACGTAAATTTTCCGGGAGGCGGTGTCCTGGCTCTGCGGCGGAGGCATCGGCCCAACCGAAGCCAATTGACACGAAGTAATTCGATTACCAATCTTTTTTCTAGGGTTTTTCAAAGCTTTTGCCGCGGCTTTTCGGGTTTTAAATGAAACGAAACCAAATCCCTTGGCTTTACCTGTTACACGATCAGTGACAACATTGCACTCCTCAATTTCTCCGAATTGTTTGAAAGCCGCAGTTAGAGTTTCGCGAGTAGTGTCCCATCCAAGGCCGTGGACGAAGATTTTTCTATGAGAGACGTCTTTATCGGCGGTATCGCGGATTCGATCGAAGAGTGAGGCGTCTTTGAGTGCGGCGTCTACAATGAATTCCATGAGTTGGTCTTTGGTGTAGGGTTCGAGGAGTTTTTGGAATTTTTCCGATTCGGTATCGGAATCGGAGTCACTGGCGGTGGCGATTTGGGTTTCGATCTTTGGGAGTGGTGGGGTTTTTCCGGTGATTTTCTTCTTCTTCTTGAGTTGCTTGTCGATTTTGGTGGTTGTGGTCTCAGGCTTCTTCGCGAGCTTTTGCTTCTTCGCTTTGTTCTTCGCCATTGCTGAGAAATTGTTTGGTTGTGAGTGCTTTCGGAGATTGAAAGTAGCTGATGAGGGTTTTGGATTTAATCCTAGATTTTTTTATGGTGGGGTCGTCTTTTACATTTACTTCGTTGTGGGCAAAATTACAGTTCAGTCCCATTATTTTCAGTTTTGATTTTTTTTTTTACAGTTCAGTCCCAGTTTTTTTTTTTATCTAAGATCTAATAAATCATTTGATGGTTCTCGTCTCCTTCAAAAATATATTATAAAAAAATTTATTGTTAGGCACATTAATGTGATTGAGGATATCGTATGCAATATGTGGTGATTTTAGTGAGAATAATGGCAAAAGAGACTTTATGGATGATTTGATAGACTTACATCAATGTTTTACTTTAAATTCACATCTTTTTTACATTGATTATAGATGATTTGATATACACATTCAAGATTAGCTCCCACAAGGCAACTTATTTTTGGATGATACTGTATTAATTGATAACAGAAGGAAGGAAGTAATAATAAATAAAAATTTTGGTGAGAATTTCTAGAATAAAAAAATCCAAGATAAATATAACTAAAATTGAATATATGAATTGGTAAAAGGAGAAATTCAAATCAAAAAATAGTAAAAATTAAAAATCAGGAGAAACTAAAAAGTGAATACTTTAAATATTTAGGGTTTATTATTCATATTTTGTACTAGTGATAAAAAAAGAAAGAAAAGAAGATTAAATACTTAATTATAGCATAAAAGTTATATAATGGCAATAAACTCTATCAACTGAGGGACTTCATTTTTTAGGCATGAACTACAAAATGAGAAATTTTTATCAATTTTATTTTTATTTTTATTTTTATAGTGTTCTAAAATTTCTTAGCTACCAAATACATTGGTTCTCTACATTGTTAAGATTTTGTATTATACCATAGACAGCTTTTTGGATTCAACATGCTTGACTTCTTTTTTTGGTGTGCCTGGATTTTTTTTTTAACCTATATGCCTTCATACTTGACTCTAGTATATGAGCTCTTGTTTATTACTGTTTTCAAGCAGTTGTAATGGATGAACATGATGATAGATAATTTAGAATAACTTTTTCTTGGATCATACAGTTTAACTAAAGAAATATTCAGGCAACCAGAACATGAGCCCAACCAAAAAAAAAAAAATTGTACTTGAGGCCCCTCTGCTGGTTCATAACTATGAAATTTGGGGGAGTGCTAGCATTATTTAGTAGCTATATAGAATTTTTCTGTTATAAAATGGTTGTTGGTGATATAAAAATAATTACTTCCAGAGTTGTTTTAGTTTGGATAGTTTAGATGGATTTTTTTTCCTTTTCTTAATCGTCTTGATCTTATGGTAGCTAGGGTATCTTGTATGATATATATATATATATATATATATATATATATATATATATATTCTCTATACTTCTTTCCTATTTTTTGATAAAAGTTTGTAGCTTATGAAAAAAAGACAAAACAATATGAAAAAAAATTATAAAAAAATTGATCATGGATTAATCAATCCTAGTTTTTGTGTGTGTGTGCAGGTTGAATATAAGCACACATGACTCCTGCTGCTGCACTGGAATACGTGCGGGTCTAGAAGAACAAAAGTGTTGTTGGCTCCTTCTCAATGGAAGGTGGTTTCCTTGCCTTTTTTCTTGAAAAAGACCAGTACTTCTAATTATGTAAGTAGGTCCTCGGTGGGTTTGTGGTCGAAAGAAGTGGTGTTGAAGTGCACTAAAAGTGTTGTCATTTCTCTTTCGTTACCTTTTCTATTTTATTCTATTCCAATTGACGATTCTAATAAGCAGGCCGTCCAAGAATTTAGGCGAAAGAGAGATTAGCTTCTACGTCACTGTCTCCCTCAGGAGATGTTGTTCTGATTACAAAAGCAGATTTGGAAAGGTATCATAGCCTTGGTCATAGTGATTCCAGCAAGGAGCTGGTAATTGTGCCCAGGTGGCAAGGACTAGACCCATGATACAAAGGTTACCCTGCCTCTTTGCATCTCTTATTAGAGATTCTGGTGGCCGCAGACCCATCCCAAGGCATCTGACAAAGGCGCGCACTTGCTAAACCCCACACTTTTTGTTGAGCTGGTTGTTTGTGCAGAGAAGCATTATGTTAAACCATCATCTAATTTTCCTGCTTTCGGTAGTTTTGTGTTTAAGAGTGATAGAACTAATAGAAAGCAAACGAAGTGGACAGTTGAAGAGCTATGTCACACCCCATCTCGAGAGACCTATTTGGTATTTCAGATATAGAAGTATAACTCGACACGTGGTAATACCTACGCCTGTAATACAAGGAATCATTTAAAACCAATAATACTAACCACTAATCTCATAAAAGAGATAAACCATATAACCCTATAACAAAGTACACAACTCTGTAACTCAATACAACACAAACAAGGAAATGAACACTCTGGTACAATATGTACACAGACTAGTTTCCTTAACCTCTCATCTTGACTCTGTTAGTGTTGTAGTGGACCCAACTCTAAACTTCAACTTCCTGAAAACAAATATTTTCTTGAGTGTACTGCGCATCATAATAAATGAAAATATTAAAAACTATGGATCAAATACTATTTCACCAAAATATGTTCACAATCTGAGGAGAACGTTAAAATCAAAGTGTTTTCAACTCATTTTAAAATCTCATAATAACTGTCAATATAACAACATAATAAATAGTCAACATGTATTATGAGTCAACAATAACATTTAAGTAATGTCAAACTATCAATAACATTTAAGTAATGTCAAGATATCTACAACATTTAAGCAATGTCAAGATATCTACAACATTTAAGCAATGTCAAGCTATCTACAACATTTAATCAATTTCAAATTGTCTCACGACATCTGTGCAGTGTCCAAATCAACAACATTTAAGCCATGTCAAGTTATCAACAACTCTAGCACAGTAAAAAACTACTCAAATCACAAATTTTTCAACAAAATATATTGGATCCATCATTTGCTCAACTCAACATAAATCAAGTCATCAAAACTTCATTGCACATAGTGAAATAACTCATAGTAGTCATATACTATTATTTTCAATTATTATGAAGTAATACACTTCACCTATCACCGCCAATCAACATACCACTTAGCTTTATGCTCGATCCCTAAATGGAACCGACGTCGTAGCCTCCAACCCTAACAAGTTGCATATGCACAAATGCAAATAAGTATCGACTCAAAAATAACCTAATTTATGCAATTAAATGCAAATGAATATGCTTCCTGATGTTTCGTATTCACTAAAATTTTACTTCAGTATTCAAGTTCGAAGACCAACTAGCCACTTAAACGTTTACGAACTCAATGAGTACCCTTTATAACCTTAAATTAGAATGTAAACCATTTTTTCCATTCAATCTATGTTACTTACAATTAGTTTAAAAGGATTCCACAATCTCATTTTATACAATCAAAACCATCGTTTCGGACCACTGTGTGTTACCGCACTCAAAAATGTAATCCAAATCAGTGATTTTTAGCCCTAATTCAAAAACCCAATTATAAGTTTTAAAATATGCTAAACATTCATAAATAATGTATAAGATTTTTTTTTCATATATATTAAAACATGCACTATAAAAATATTTTACTAATTTTTTTTTATCTACGTATTATGCATGTATGCTCGGGTTTCACAAGCTCTGCAACGTTGTGTATGTTGGAGGTAAGGTATGACTTTAGTTTTACCTGTATATAATATAATTGTATCAGGTTTTGTAATTCATACTTTAGTTTTGGTCGTTCTCTCGTTGAATCTTAGCATTTGTTAGTTACTTTCACGAACTATAGATAAAAAAGTTTGATTCATTGTCTTTTTGTAACATTAATAACTTGTTTGCCTCCTTTCATTTTTTTTTTCTCACACCCTTCCTGTAGCTTCTTATCCCCTTCCTCATTTCTGTTTTGCGTATGTGCAACTGTATATCCACATTTTATTTTAGTTGATTGAGCTAATTGTTGTTTGAGCCATATGGCTTGTGTTGATTACGCATTTAGCAATCATTAATTGTGCAATAATTTGTCTTCTTGATGTTCATAATTATAGATAAGGAAACAATGTACTAAGTATTTTTTTTTTTTGGGAGCAGGAGGGGGAGGGTCAATGTACTAAGGATTCATACCTACATAAACATGCATATAGATAGCCACAAAAATAGTGATTTGAAGAAAAAAAAAGTGAAAAAATTGTGTCTTTGAATATCTATTTTCTAGGATCATTAATTACAACTTTGGGTTTAACTCAAAGTAAGTGGAGAAAAAATATTAAAAACTTAACAATGCGAATATTTGTATTTGGGGTCATTAACTAAAACTTTGGGTTTAATGAAGGGAATCAAGTTTTTTAGGATGTTAGTTACTAGCCAAGGCTTGGAAGCTTAATCACCATAGAGACAAATTTTTTTAATCTTCCATGCTCATATGCTCCATAAGTTGTGGCAAGGTAGTTGTAACAATGAAACTTAAATTTTTTAACTGAAGTTTGTAATCCTATGTCATAAGGAAAAAATTGTACCTAGATGATAATTGCCAATGCAAAAATAGAACTAAGCCCATAATTTAATGTTTAATCATAAACTAAACAAGAAGCATAAACGAAGAATAAAAGCAAAACATATTTGTCCTGCAGTTTTGTTTAATGTCTTCTCATACTCATAAAAGTAAAATTTTCACAACTTAGTTGATAAACAAGTATAACATGACTTTTTCTTATATGTGATTAAGTGTCGCAAATAGTGGAGTCTTGAAACCCAGAATCTGGACCACTGATTCTTTGACTTTATGCTCTCGAATGTTTCAATTTCTGTTTTGAAGAAATGATGGCTTATTATACTGTGAGATCTTGTATTTCATTAAAATATAAATGATATTAACTTGATAATATTTTTAAAATTATAAAAATGACGAGAGAAATTTTGAATCGTTATTAAAGGAATACGTGCATAAGTTTGAGTTACATGCGTATTGATT